GAAATGATTCTAGATTCTGTCAAGTTGGTAATCAATAAAACCCAGCATAATGTACCCAAATATTCTTTCTGATGAAAATATAAATAATTAGCATGGCAATTTACTTTCACTATATGTATTTATTTAAATGATAATTGACTAAAGCAAATAAATAAAAAAGCATAGTAATCATGCCATTACAATGCATAGAAGCAAAATAAACATTAATAGACCCAAAAACCAGGATACAAGAAATAGATGATGTATAATGTAATATCCTAACATCTTACATGAAATAGTTCATTATTTGATGGAGGGCTATGATCACTTTAAGATGCATACTGTTAATTCAAAACTAAAGGAAACCAGTTTCTCTCTGTCTCTGTCTTTATCTCCTCTCTCCCTCTCACTGTGTGTGTGTGTGTGTGTGTGTGTGTGTGTGTGTGTGTGTGTGTGTGTAGTCAATAGAAGTAAAATGTAATTATACTATCTACAAAGAGGCAAGAAAAGAGTAAGAAAGAACATGCAGAATCCAGTCATTAGAAACAATATTAAGATGGTAGACTGCAGGGCCAGGAGAGAGAGTTCAGTGGGTTAAGAGCAGCTTCCGCTTTTGGAAAGGACCCAGGCTCAGTTCCCAGCACTGACATGGTGGCTTACAACTGTCAATAACTCTAGTTCCAGGGGATCTAAAACCCGCTTTTGCCCTCTTGAGAACACCATAAGGTACACATACATACATGTAGGCAAAACACTAATGCAAATAAAGATAACTTTAATAAACATGACAGACTGAGAAATCAGTATGTCAGTAACAGTGAGTGTAAAATAGTACAAATCCACTAATTTAAAGGCAGAATAAAAAGAGTATGTCCCTAGTCTAGCCTGGTGTGTAGATCACTAATCCCAATTTAAGAAACTGAGGCAGAAGTAGGAACAACAACTTCAACACTTCCCTAGATGACTTGGTAAGACCCCATCTCAAAATTAAAAATATAAAAAAAAGCAAGGGATGTAGCTCAATGGTAGGTGCATTGCCCAATGTGTCCATGAATTCAGTATCTCAGACCACCAAAACAGAAGTATGATCCTAATTCATGTGACCTACAATAACCTATGTTCAGTTATACAGCAGGTATATATAAAAGGGCAGAAAAGATAGCAGCAAAAGGCAGGGGTGACTATATCAGATAAAACACATTCTTGATTGGATCCCAGACCAGAAAAAGGGATATTAAAATGGTCAACAATAGAGAAACACTGAATAACACCCACAGATTAGTTAGAAGTATTGCATCTCTGAATTTCTTGATCTGTAATTATACCCTGGCTATCTGTTACTAGCATCCTAGGAGACTCAGTAAAAGTTTTCAGACAGCTGTAAAAATTTCAAAATGAAAATCTAAAAATACTTTAAAAACTACAAATTTCTGCTCATTGAAAACCAAGTGTGGAGAGATACAATCCTGTAATCCCAACACTTGGGAGGATAAGGTGGAAGGAATCCCAGTTCAGATGCACTTGCCTACACAGAAAGATCCTATCTCAAATAACAAGACTCACTTGTTAACTGATGTGACGCTACTAAGAAGAAAGCAAGACATGGGATGACGGTGAATCAGAGGTTCCACATTTGGGACTCTGAATGCGAAAAGTGAAGAGGACAAGAGGACAGAGGAAATAAGGAAAGCAGGCGCTGGCAATCAGCAGAGCGGATGCTCCAGCTAAGATGCTCCAGCTAGGAAGCATGCTGAAACATCAGACAATTCAGACAGAAATAGGACACAGTCTGCATTTCATCCCTGGCAACCCTCCCTCCCATGTAGAGGAGGAAAAGTCGGTACCATCTCTTACTTCGCTCAAAAATTAATTGAAGCCGGGCGGTGGTGGCTCACACCTTTAATCCCAGCACTCGGGAGGCAGAGCCAGGCGGATCTCTGTGAGTTCGAGGCCAGCCTGGGCTACCAAGTGAGTTCCAGGAAAGGCGCAAAGCTGCACAGAGAAACCCTGTCTCGAAAAACCAAAAAAAAAAAAAAATTAATTGAAGATGAATCAAAGACCTTAATTTAAGACCTGAGACTGAAACTCCTAAGGAAAAACACTTCCAAGATACAGGGACAGCCAATGCTCTTCTGCATAGTACATCAGTGGTCTGGGAAATAGCAAAACCTGATGGGCAGGACTGCATTAAATAAAAAAGCTCGGTAATGCAAAGGATGAAGCTGTCAGGATGAAAAAGCAATCCACAGAACAGAGTAAAATCTCCAGGTACTCATCCATCTGACAGGAGACTGGCAATCTAACACATACACAGAACTCAAAATTATACTTCCTTAAATAAATAATTCAACCACTCAATGAACAAAACAACAGACAATTTTCAAAATAACTATAAATGGCCAAAAGGCACATGAAAGAATATATTCAACTTTCTTTACCTGCTAGAAAAACGCAAATCCAAACTACATGGAGACTCCATCTCACCCTAGTCAGAACAGCTCTCATCAAGTCACAGAAAAGGGACAAATGCCGATGAGGATGCAGAAAAAAGAAACTGTCTACACAGTTGGTGAGATAGCAACCAGTAGAGCCACTATGGAAATCCACAAAGATTCTTCCAGAAACTAAAAAGAGATCTACCACATGATCCAGTTGTATGCATCATTCCTGTGGATACACCTCTGGGATAGAAGTCAACGTACAGCAGAGACACCTGCATACTCAAGCCTATTGTAGCATTATTCACAAGTGTATATGGAAAAGAAAAATGGTCCACATCTTAATTGTGGTGGTTACATGGGTATATGCATCATCAAAATTCCTTTATACTGCACAATTAAAATGGGTACTTCTGGCTACACATAATTTATATCTGAATGTAAGATATTTCAAAAACCTTTATAACTCTGATCAATATAACATTGAAATATTCATAATGCTATTTATCAGAGCAGAAGGGCCATGTCCTTAGCTTCAGAAATTGGGCCAAAATTTAACTGCAACTTTTCTCTTAATGTACGCGCCAAGATTTTGAAGGATGAAGTGTACATCATGAGTAGAAAAGAGGAATGAACACAATCAGCGAAGATGATTTTCAGGAGCTGGAGAATGGCTCAGCAGTTAGGAGCACTTAATGAGAACACAAGTTCTATTCCCAGCAGCCCATCACAGCCCAGAACTGTCTTAACTCCAGTTCCAGGGGATCTGATGCCCTCTTTTGACCTCTGTGGGCACAGGTACTCATACAAGTAAGAAAAACATTCATACAAAAGAAAAAAAAATCCTTTTTAAAAAGCGATTTTTAAAAATATACATTCTGTGGGCAGGGTTTTGTTTTTTTTTTTTTTTTTTTTTGGGTTTTCGAGACAGGGTTTCTCTGTGCAGCTTTGCGCCTTTCCTGGAACTCACTTGGTAGCCCAGGCTGGCCTCGAACTCACAGAGATCCGCCTGGCTCTGCCTCCCGAGTGCTGGGATTAAAGGCGTGCGCCACCACCGCCCGGCATGTGGGCAGGGTTTTAAAAGCTAAAATTGTCTTATGTTTAATATCATATGAAATCATTTAATAAGCGTTATTCAATATGTAAACCATATTGCTCTGAAGTACTTTAAAAAAATGTAAAATGAAATCAAGATTAGCCCTACGGCAGAAAGTATGCCAAACAAAGAAAATAGTTTTCAAGTATGACAGATCATTATTTTATTGACATTTCTGTTAAAAAAAAACAGTGGTAATCTTATATAATTTTAAGACTCAAAATAATAATTTATGTACATTAAGGGTGAACATTATGCTATAATCTATATATTCGTGACCTCATTGAGATGTATCTAAATATTTAAGGGAGACATAAAAGTTGAAACAGTTGCTTCCTCAAGTCAGACAGAGTAAGTGGAACACAGAGTGAAGATCAATAGTCGTGGTACCAGCGCTCAGGCTCCTTGCTGCCTCTCACTGGAGCTCCAGTTACAATACACACACCATTTTTTGAACACTCAAAAGGATCAAGTATATTTTTAAAAATAAAGCATCTAACTTTCTTGCAAACACAGTTCTTTGCTATGACATAGTCAAAGCTCCAGGGACTTCTCAAAGCTGTCAATACACAAGAGCTCAATGTGATACTGTCTTACTCCAGGTTTATGGATCTCAGAATAAGCTTACAACAGAATACAGAGGTTTGCTCAGAGTGGTTCCTTGGGACAGTACTAAGAAGGCAGCCTCAAGCCTGTGCAATGCAGCAGGTTTTTATGGCCTCTGGAATCACACAGCTACCAAAAGCTGGAGATCGTTGTAAGGGGGAAGAACTACCAGCTCCTAGAATTTCCTGCAACTTCGTTCTCTCATTTATAAAGCTGCTGTGGATCACAGATGGTGGAGACATGGCTCTCAGAAAGAAATGGGTTTCAGGAAATCTCTTTCTTGAAGACAGGCACAGGGGAGTCTTTGTGTCCATTTTCTTCTGGTTTTCTTATGTTCTTCAGTTGTTAACTCCTTCTGAATAATTCTCTTGGATTTTAGACTTTCATATATTTCCTTGACTTTCTAGTATGAATTTGATTTATTAAGTCACTGTGTTTTGTTGCTTTTTAAAAATTCATAATTGAACAGTAACTGTACTAAACTAAAAAATTATCTACTTTAATGATGACAGAAAATACTCATTAACTGATTATCTTGTTTAAGAATATATGAAATATTGAAATTAAGGCAAAACTATATTCAAGCATGTGCTAACTGTGTTTATGCCTGCAACAATCTCCCCCGCAGGAAGCGAGCTTGCTTTATTTATTTACCTATTCATTTGTATATTTTGCTGTTTAAATAAAACATTAAACCTGGAGAAATGGCCCAGCAGTTAAGAGTACTGACTGTTCTTGCAGAGGATCCAGGTTTGGTCCTAAACACTCACATGGTGGCTTACAACTCCACTTCCAGGGGATCCAATAGCCTCTGCTGGCCTCTGCAGGTACTGTCTATACATGGTACATATACATACAGCCTGCAACAATTTTTATCTTACCTGAAATCACATGCTGTAGTAAATTCTGCTCCTCCACCCATTGCCCAGCCTTGAACCAGAGCAACACTTATTAACGGTAGTCTGTATATTAAAGGAAAATGGATGTGAATAAATCTAACCTTAGGGTTCATTTCTATACATCATATTAAGGTCTTCAACATTTCGCAGTGTTAATAACAAGAGCCATCAAGGGTAGTGAATCCTTGAACCTGTGCACCATCAGAAGTAAAGTGGCATGAGGCCGAGCACACGGCAGCTCACACTTGTGCTACCAAGGGTTAGCAAACCACCTACCTGAACCACTGCCTGCTTCAGTGGTGGTACATACTGTAACTGTCTTCCAAACACAGACTCTATGATACACCTTTAGCAAAGGGACTCTCCACGCTATCAATCCAGCACAGTCATGGTGAAACTGTCTGCACTACAGTCAGGGTATGGGGATTATGGCCAAATCTGAAGAGATAACCTGGTCTGAAACACAGAGCTACAAAATCAAGTATTTAAGATTCCCACCAAAAGACTTACCATTACTACTTAAATGGCCATAGACTGCTCCTATATATAAGCATTATTTAGTGTTTGAAGTAAATCTTACTATTTCTGCTTATAAAGAATGTGTGGGGGACATTGGTAAACACCTTCAATCCCAGCACTTGAGAGGCAGAGACAAGTGGATCTCTAAGAGTAAAAAGGCCAGTCTGGTCTACTTCCTGCACAGCCAAGGATATATAGTGAGACCTTATCTTAAAAAAAAAAATTAAAGCTGGGCGGTGGTGGCGCACGCCTTTAATCCCAGCACTTGGGAGGCAGAGCCAGGCGGATCTCTGTGAGTTCGAGGCCAGCCTGGTCTCCAAAGCGAGTTCCAGGAAAGGCGCAAAGCTACACAGAGAAACCCTGTCTCGAAAAACCAAAAAAAAAAAAAAAAAAAAAAAAAAAAAAAAAAAAAAAAAAAAAAAAATTAAATAAAAATAAATCATGTCACAACAGTGTGAGAAATCTATCAGACAGATCTAAAATGTTTTCAAAGTATTCATTTTTTATAGATTCTAAAATGTAAAGCTATTGGTCTAATGTGACTAAATATTTCCTAATAAGCCCTACTTCCAAATAGAAAGGATCACTTAAACGAGAAAAACTTTTTAGCCAGATGTGGTGTTAGACACCTGTAATCCAGGCTTCAGAAGATGGAAGCAGAGGAATCAGGAGTTTAAGGGTGGCCTTGACTAATAGTAAGTTTGTGTGTGTGTGTGGTCAAACTGGGCTAAATAATACCCTGTCTCATAAATTAATAAAAATTACAATTAAAAAATCTAGAAAAGGGGGCCAATGGCTCAGTGGATTAGAGTGCTTGTTGCTTTTGCAGAGGAACCAGGTTCAATTCCCAGCACCCATAGAGCAGCTAATAATCATCCATAACTCCAGTTCAGAGGATCTGATGCCTTCCTCTGATCTCTGAAGGCACTAGAAAACACATGTGGTGCACAATACAGACACCCAGGCAAAACATTCAGACATATAAAGTAAAATAATCTAAAATAAAAGAAGTTTTAAACTAGAAAAAAAGTCAAGAACAATGTGGTGAGAGAAACAGTTAAGGCAATGGTATTTAAAACAGTAATGTTATATCTCTATTATTTTTTCTAGACTCTCAGATGAGTACCAAAAACACAGAAATGTCTAATTAATAAGCATGCTTAAATATGATTTTCTTAGTTTTCATAATTTTAAACTGCTTATATTTACAAAAAAATCAGAGATTCAAAGCATGTCAAAATCTACAATCTGAAATGCAGATTTTTTTTCTTCCCTTTTCCTTTATCTAGATACAAAGTACTCCCATTTTGTCAGAAAGCTGTAAAAGTATTTGCCAATCTAGTTTTCTCTCATCTGGACGCAGTCCACCTCGCTCCATTTCTACCGCTCTCCATCCTGGAGGAATCTCTGCATGTCACCTCCTCATCAACATCCTTTCTCTGTCTGGTGTCAGTATCTGACTGTCCCTACAGCTGTTCCTTGTGGTAGCTGGTTATGTGGGCACTGTTTCGTAAATTACTTTCCTTTCTCCTGATTTACAACACTGTTCATACCTCACTAACATTTCACTCTAATAATGACTGTTCTCTATGGCATAAAGAAATAGTCCATCATTATAGCAGACACAGTTTGAAGCTTGGCTAACTTTTTTAAATGTACAAATAATGCCGGGCGGTGGTGGCGCACGCCTTTAATCCCAGCACTCGGGAGGCAGAGCCAGGCGGATCTCTGTGAGTTCGAGGCCAGCCTGGGCTACCAAGTGAGTACCAGGAAAGGCGCAAAGCTACACAGAGAAACCCTGTCTCGAAAAAACAAAAACAAAAACAAATAATGGAATAATAAATTATTAATTCTGGTATTTTAAAAATCCTATTTTTAAAAGAAAGATACATTACCTCATAAATCTTGTTAAGGTGTTCTGCATGAACATAGATAAGGCCACTCCATTCTTTAAATTAAACAAAAAAACACAAAAATGAGTATATTACAAAAGAAATACTTTTAAAATTCAGAGTTTGAAAAGAAACAAAGCCAAATTGTTTGAAAATCAAAGTTTTCATTTCACACTCTGTGAGGCCGAACGGAAAATGATACTGTGTGTGTCGCTCTCCCAGAGCTGGAGCTCAGCATTGCACAAGGTAAGTCAGACGGTGGCCTGAACTGCTGTTCTCACTGATGTGGCAAAAGTTCTAAAACAGGGGTTTGAGGAAGGCAGGGCTGACTTGGCATCCTAGTTTGAGATCTAGTCCATCACAGCGAGGCAGGCACAGCAGCAGAACCACAGGGCTGCTGGGAGGACTGCGTCCTCAGGCAGCAGGCAGAGGTGAATGGTGTTGCTTAGCTTCCTTACTTTTCATTCAGACCAGGACCCCAGCCCATGGAATAGTGCCACCCACATTTAGGGTGTTCTTCCCATCTCAATTAACCTAATCTGGAAAAGCCCTCCACAAGAATGCCCCAAGGTTTATTTCCATAGTGACTCTTCAATCCCATCAAGTTGACAACCAAGACTAACCATTACAGCTTCCTAGAACAGAGTCAAGCACCACTCACAGTACCCTGGGAGAAACTTGAGCATGACTCTCCCACCTGCTACCTCCAGGAAGCCATGTGTAAAAGAAAGGAGTTACGATGAGCTCTGGGATTTTGTACTCCAAGGCTGTGATTCCTAGATTTTTTTTTACAAACTATATATTTTCTCATAAGAGCCATACCTTGTTCAATCCAGTATAGTCTGACTTTCAGCCTTGTCCCCAAACATTTTAATACCCTATTTGTCAAATTAAATGACTTTTCCTTATTCTGTATTATCTGCTCTTCAACTTGACACCACTTCCTCACTCAGGTCCTCTCTTTCTAGATGTTTTCACTCCTGATTCTTTGTCTGTTGCTCTGACTGCTCTTCTCCAGTTTTCCCCTTGTTCTTCCCACTCAGCCAATCCCCTAAAGGCAAGTACTCTCCCAAACCCACCCCACAGCTTTCTCTCTTTCTTCTTTATTTGAATTCTTTCCTTTGAAAGTTTAAGCCACTCCCACTGTTGGTTTTGTGTGAAGCATTAGAACCTACTAGATATCTCCACTTCCTGTACTTCTCTGGCACTGCTAACAGGACCTCAAACTCAGCACTCACAACTCCCAGGAGTAAACCGGCAGTGTGAGTTCTAGTGCCACCACTTAGGAAGAGCGTGCACGGGAGCAAATCATGACTGTGAGTTCAGGGTTCTCACCCAGAGGAATCAGGAACACAAACAGGAGTTCTGGCTGATTTACAGGATGGCAGGAAAGGTGGAAATCTGTACGTTCTGTACAGGCTACTGAGCTACTAGAAAAGTTAGTAATGATCAGCAGGCTCGGAATGTTGCTGTTGCCACTAATTGCTCTAATTTACAAAATCCTCATTATCAAGACTTAAGTGTATCTTCTTAGTTCCTCCTCTTTAATATTCCCAATATTTACTTTTTTTTTTCTGGTTTTATTCCAACTGAGCTAATCTAGACCTGTTTATCAGTTCATGGGTTGATTAGTTAAAAAACAAAAAACAAAAAACAGCTTTACTTTCTAATCAGAATTTCTGTATTTAATTTCTTTTTCTTAGATATACTTTCCATCCTGCTGCTTGGTAACTCTTCCTGTAGGATAACCATTTCCTATCAGCAGCAGAATAAAGTCTAAGATCTTGGAAAAACCAAATTCCACATAATCCTAAAGTACATTACTCACATTATTAACTCCATACCCTTCAACTAAGAATCTTAACTTCAGCCACAACATACCAAAATATCTGGCAATCCTCTAAATATCATATACCTAGTATTATATATTATATATAACATATAACACATATAACACACACACACACACACACACGTTCTGTATTTTGTTCACACCAGCCCATCAATCCATAGTTATAGCAACCTGTTCTTGTTCTATTTCAAGAAATCCCTGGGTCAAATAATGTGATTCCATCACAACTTTCCAAATGCCACGATAGTTTCCTCTTTTGTGTTTCACAGTACTTTTTTTTTTTAATTCCTGCACCTTAACTACAGTACTTATAAACTGTTTTGTAAACTGTGTGTTTGAATTCATTATTTGACATATTGCCTCTACAGGATGGGGGCTAAGGAATGTAACAATGAAGTCCTCAACAATCTTGGAAGAACAACCCATAAGGTACTGTATACTGTTGTTTTTTTAATGCTTGAACTAACTGAGCAGAACACCAATGAAGAAACAATCCATCTGCACTGTGGTGCAAAGATGTGGTGGTGGCAGAAAATGCTAGGCTGTGTGATACCTTCCTTGAGGCTGACAGCATACTACCAATACTAATGGCAATTCTGTAATGGAATGAGTGTGTTCTGACCATAATATATCATAAAGCAGAAATTAAAACTGGCCCCAGAGATAAGGTTTAATTTGGCCAAGCATGGGAGCACACACCTTAATCTCAACACTTGGGAGGCAAAGGCAGGAGAATCTCTGAGTTTCAGGCTAGCCTGGTCTACATAAAAAATGAGGAAGTAGATAGAACAGGAGGAGGGAACAGAAGAAGAATTATTATTAAGTCATCACCCAAAGCTACACAGTCAAACACTCATTTATTTCCCTGAGTTGAAGGAGGAAGAGAAGTCAAAGGGCTAGAGGCATGACTCAGCAGTTAAGAGCATGGGCTATTCCTCTAGGTACCAGGGTTCAATTTCCAGCACCCACACTATAGCTCACCACATCTGTAACTCCCATTCCAGGAGATCAAATACCCTGTTCTGTCCTCCCTGGACAGGTAGGTGATGCATAGGTATACATGCAGATAAAACACCCATACACATAAAACAAAATTTAAAAAGGAAGAAAGGAAGGAACGGGGGGGGGGGGGGGGGGGGGGGGGGGGGGGGGGGAGGGGAGCAAAAACAAAACACTACCAGGAGGAAATAATCATGGAAAAGACCAACCTGCCAATGTTTGGGTATAGGCACCTGGGAAGTACTGGACAAAGGTATGGAGAGCTGCCACAGATGTTTCCTTTGTACCCTGGGGTGCAAGTTCACCTTTTTAGCTCTTCCCAATAACAACCGTGACAAAGCATGTGCAGAACTCAATGTGCACAAATAAACCATGAGCATCGCACTAGCACTTGCAACCATCTTGAGTACAAAAACTCCCATCTGCAAAGTATCTTATTCTATGACCATAAGAACTAGCTTTATGGATTGATGAACTTCTTCCAAATACACTGAAAGATTTTTGGAAAATAAGTAATTTTTCTATATATCATTATGGCTAAAATGAAATTGTACAAGAGTAGCAACAAGCCCTAAGCAGCTAGACAGAAATTGGGGGGGGAGGAGTCACAGTAGACATTTAAGCAACGAAGACCCAAGCAATACATTATCAGTAGAGTAACAAAAGAGGTCAGGGATGAAGGAGGACAGTATCTTCAAGCTAGGTGAAGACTCTGAAGCTTTCTAAGCACCAAACCTTTCCTTGACTCTTTAGACCCACTGCTGTAAAGTAAGCAATTCTGTATTTCCCTGTACACTCAAGTTTACCACTGTGGACTTTGATTCCTTCTTACCTCTAAAAGGAGACTTCTTAGGGTCTCCAGAACATTCATGGCATAAAACCTCGCTCTTATAATTGAGTAATATTTCCACCCTTTTTTCTACCTCTTGCTATCCTCCTTTACCTAACTCTTCAGGGCTAACCCTGTGTCACATTCATCCATCTCCTGGCTTCCACGTCTTCGACTAAGAACCAACTGTGTAACAGGGGCAACTAGAGCTCCTTTCCTCATCAGGAAACCAAAGACCCCCAAAAGAAGTCAGCTTCTTAAGGATCAGTCACACATGAAAGGAAAACGAAGGGAAACAGCTTAGGAACACAGTATTGCCAATGTTGGCACTGTCGTGGGTATGTGAAGGTTTCACTGGATTTGTCTGTTTTTATGGACATTTGGAAATTTTCTTCAGACTTTTTAATTGAAAAATTATAGTGGCAAAACATCAACATAACTACCCTTTAAAGACAAGTCATTTAATAATCATACTAAAGCATTTTATTATATTTAGAGGACAATGTAATTCACTTACTAAACTGTCATATATTTCAGTTACTTCATCATTCCCAGAAAGCAAATTGACCAAATATACAGATGCTGCTGACACATCTGTAACACAAATACTCAGCATGCTGAACACAGAAGAGCTTCACTGAGAGAAAACATTCACAATGTGAGATCACAATAGGTCTCATTGTCTTAGCTACAAGTTAGATGTATTCGTACATCCAACTGCAACTCCTGTGAAGCGCCTGAGATTGCTAGGCTCCAAGATTGCAAATTTCATGTTTACACAAACACAATTACTTCTCAGGTGCAGAAGAATACAGACTATCTGGGGAAAAAATGGCTCAGGAATTTTATATACACCATTTCTACTTGCCAATTTTAAAACAATCATGTGATAAATATACCCTATATGTGACAAATGCTATTGTTACTCTGAATATTACCCACAAAGAAGTTAGTATAGTGGCTCATGACTATCAGCCCAGCTCTCAGAAGGCTGGGGCGGGAGGATTTCAGGGACTTTGAATCCAGTCAAGAATACAAAATGTACATAATGAGCTCTAAGAAAGTCTGAGCTAGAGTAAGACTGTACACACACACACACACACACACACACACACACACACACACACACACGCACACACAAAATTTGAGGAACTTTCACAGATGGGAGATCTAAGGAATCATGACTCCTAAATAGGACTCCAAAGCAGAAAAGGACACACTAGAACTACCAATACCAATAATTTATGGAATTCCTTTTCTTTCTTCTCTTTTACACTACTCTGACACGTAAAAGCAAGTACATATCTAATGTGCACAACTTGAGATAATCACCAATTCAACTATCAGCACCCATTCACGCTGCAGATACACCCATCATTTCTAGTATTTTTCTCTCATCCCCTTTATCATCAGTGTGGAGTGTGTGTGTAAAAACATTCAACATAAGATCCACCATCTTAGAAAAGTTTATGGATATACTCTCATTATAGACACTATGCTAGAGAACCAATCTCTAGCACTAATTTACCTGGGTAATGGAAGCTCTCCTTTCCCTATTCCCTCCTCACTACCTGTCAACCACTATTTTCCTCCATGCTTCAATCTCACTATTTGAGATTCCACATATGAGATCACAAAGCAGAGATTCATACGTTGATTCATTCATTGGAACATACGTTTTTGATGAATCTTTAGATCAAAGTAATAGCTAAAACAAAGGGCATAGGGTACACATATGGAGGACTCTATACTAGTCTTCCAACTTTTTCACAATCTTAAAATTATTCTAGCCGGGCAGTGGTGGCGGCGGCGCACGCCTTTAATCCCAGCACTCGGGAGGCAGAGCCAGGTGGATCTCTGTGAGTTCGAGGCCAGCCTGGACTACCAAGTGAGTTCCAGGAAAAGGCGCAAAGCTACACAGAGAAACCCTGTCTCGAAAAACCAAAAAAAAAAAAAAATTATTCTAAAATTTAAATTTTTTTCTTTAAAAACAGTCAATCAAATTAGAAAAGAAAGAGACCCAGGGGCATTACTGGAGGGGAAGAAGAGCATCAGGATCAACACTGAAGACAAGAGACATTCATTCTCCAAAAACACCAGCACATCCAAGAGTCCTCCTCTTGGACCACAACGATGAGTCATTCCAGCATGTCAACCAAAATGTCTTTTATAGATACCCTGTAGGTAAGACCTTAACATTTATTTGTTTTCCTGTATTATTTCCCTTATAAATCTTTATAATTTCTCATTAAAAATAAACAAAACAAAAAGCATTGTTTGAAGGCTATTAAGGAGTATGAATGAATTATAGCAACCACCACCCAGGTTAAAATACGACTTTCTCAGCCGTGTCTGACGGGAGCAACCTCGGTGCATAGCCCACATACTTGCCTCTGGAGTGGAGAGTGCTTTCACAGCATTCAGATCAGATCCTGAGCAAAAAGTATTTTTTGCCCCATGGACAATGAGGCCTTTCCCCTCTGTCCAATTTTCCAATTCAATTACCCTTTCCAAAAGTTGTAGCATCATGACACCTACCAGATGAGAGAGTAAAACATGAACACATGTAATAGACTGATAAAACCAGAAATAGTAAAGTGCTGAGCAAGACCACTAGGACATACACTTTACAAATATTGACTGTATAGCTACCAAATGCCTACTGTGCTATACAATGCAATATACAAGCAAGGTATATAAAACAGCCCCTGCCTTAAAATTTTAAATTCATTAGTCTATGTATCTTAAGAAATTGGACAAATGTATTTGGAAAGAAAAATAAGAATGTATCATACAGGTCCTAGACATAGAAAAGTTGGGATATACAATATTGGATACAGTGATAAGGAAAAATTACTCCTTATGGTAAAGATAGCAGCTCAACAAGTTTTATGAGCATAAGATGACTGACATTTTACGACATACAGTCTATAAAAAATATAGGGCAAAGAGAGAGTCTAACTCTCTTCCCAGCAGGACTAACAAGATTTTAGTTCGGTCTAGAAAGAGCTAATAAATATGTAATAAATTAATGACATGGTTGACAAACTGACATGCCTGAGGGTACACTATGAAAGTGCTTAACAGGTCGACCAGCAGTTAAATCAATGATTTATATATTAGATAGTTATGGTGATATGATTACAAAATCCTATGCAAGCGTCCTTTAACAATAAATTTAAAATCGGAAACAGCGGAAAACGTTACATGAAGTTCTATTGAATAATCTGTATCTATGCACATCTTTGGTTATCTTCCAAGGTCATGTCCTCAATATGCTTAATTTTACTTTCCTAGGTAAATGGAATTAGAAGCCAAAGTAAAGATCATAACTGAAGGCCGGAACTTCCAGAGAATCTACTGTTTCCAAGCCTTACTACCCAGATCCCATTAAAATATACAGACTTATTTTTGGAAAAAAAAATCCCACAAGGTCAATAATCACTACTCTGCCATTTTTAAAGTAACCAGCGGTGATGAGGTTCTGCAGTAAATGTTAGATCAATGTTATAAATTCACATATAACTAATGAAATCAACCTTTCTAAGTATGATCTACTGAAAATGGAAACTTCTCAAGAATATCCTGAGTGCTTGAAAAATATTATTACATGACAATTATTTTTAGTTTGGGAGAAACCAAAGATCCACACATTTACTGTAAAAATAAATCAAAACAGACAAATATGCATCTTCAATCATGCATGACATTTAAGTGCCAAAACAATAATAGTGGTCATGAATATAAAACTATAGTACTAGTTAATTTTAAACTCACTCTTTTGACTTAGTGCACTAAACCTTAAGAGCTGGAGGAGACCTTACACACTAATGGGCCGTAGAGTATCTGACTGGACTGTTTTTAAGAAAAGGCATGGCAGGAGTTCACTCATTTCCCCATCCAAGCTAACAAAACACCAAGACTCAAAACATCTCTGCTTTAATTGTTTTGTATATTATGCATCAAACTAATATTCTCCTACATAATTGAATATATGGAGCTACTACCATTAATTACATGCAAATTTTGAACACTTGAAAGTGGGTGGTCAACTGAGATATACACTAAATGTAATAACAGATTTCGAAAACATACTATGAAAATAAAAAGGGAAAAAAAATCTCACATGTGACTTCTTATAGGAGTTATTTTTAGTGAAAATATTTTGAAACATTTATGTTTGATATACACAGAATCAAAATGTTAAACTGCCTAGTTTCTAAACTAGTCAAATAACATACAACAAAATAAATCCATAGAGTGACTGTGTGCAATCTGTGAGAGTTACTTTTCTCACTGTAATGTCAAAATTCCCGACAAGAAACAAATTAAAGAAAGAAGGCTTTATTCCAGCTCACACTTTACAAGAGTACATGCCATCATGGCAAGGAGGGTATAACATCAGAACAAGGGTGCATTCCATCATGGTGAGGAAGGTAAGGCATTGGGAGCCTATTATAGGGAAGAAGGTATGACATCAGAACAAGGGTGCATTATATCACAGTGTGGAAGGTAAAGTATTGGGAGCCTATCATAGAGAAGAAAGTATGACATCAGAACAAGGGTGCATTCCATGATGAGGAAGGCATGGCATCAGGAATGGGAAGGCAGCTCTATTTGATTTTGCTTTCTAAATAGTGACTGCTTAGAATATTTAACACTACACATGAATCTCATTTTTATCAAGATTTATACTCACGATTTTAAAAAAATCAACATATGCATAATTACAAAAATAGTTCTGGTTCATTTTATAGAAAATTGTTTCTGTGTATATATATTCTATAAGGAATACCGAGACTCTCAAGAATTCTTCCACCAGGACAGGGAAAGAAAAACTATGATAGCAGGCTATGACTTAGTGTCATTCTTTAGCTAGAGAAGGCAGACCTCTCGTACCTGAGAAGGCATTCATTTTATTGGGGTTGTTCAGAGTGAGAATGCCAATGCCATTCTGTTTCTTCTGAAGGTCAATGGATCCACCAGGAAACTGCTCCAGTATCTTTTTCACTTCCTCCTCGTGGAAGCCATGAGATGTATTATAAAGCGACACTCCCGTTTGTAACAGTTTCGTCCTTGCAGACAGAGATGTAGTCAAAAGACTTTTTGCCATTTCTAGAAAAGAAAGAAGTATGCAGTTGTCCCAATAAAAAGAGACTAATTTTTAATTTTCTACTGTTAGGTCTGGATATAATAATAAGCCTTTCTCTTGAATTGTGAAAACCTCTCCAATGAAGGTAAGCTCCATCAAAAAAAAAAAAAAAAAAAAAGAAAGAAAGAAAGAAAAAAAAATAAAAGATTAAGACACAGTCTGGCTAAGTAGACCAGGGTAGCCTACAACTCATTTTCCTTCAAGGTTCCTGTAGTAGAAGTTATCTACAGTCCCAACAGGGCCCGCAGCTATTCAGACCCAAATAAACACACAGATGCTTATATTATTTAAACTGTTTGGCCTAATGGCTCAAGCTTCTTGCTATCTAGTTCTTATATTTTAAATTAGCCCATTTCTATTAATCTATAAGTTGCTACGTGGCTTGTGGCTTACTGGTACTTTACATCTTACTTCTCATGGTGACAGCGGCTGGCAGTGTCTCCTGACTCATCCTTCCACTTCCCAGAATTCTCTCTCTTTGTCCCGCCTATACTTCCTGCCGGGCTACTGGCCAATCAGCACTTCATTTATTAACCAATCAGAGCAACACATTCACAGCATACAGATATCCACAGCAGGTTCCAGCTTTCTAAAGGGTTTGCCCACGCTGGGTTGGGCTTTCAGTGATGTACCTGCCTTTAAGTCATTCTTCTTCCTGGAAGTAAACCAATAAAGGCACTAGTTCACCAAGGTGGAACTGTGTGGACTGTGATGTTGGTCTGTCATTGGTTCTCAGTTTGGACAGAACAGACACTTGCTTTGTATCTCCCCCAGGAACAGTGTATTGCAGCACTTCCTGTATGTGCATTTTTTTATTGACTATTACAGATCTTTTATTCTACTGCCCACAGCTTTCCTAAAGTCTGTAAGGTAACAAATCTCACATTCCTAGCTCTGATTCAGGACTCATTTACTGGATGTCCCTATAATTCAACTGGGATATTCTGAAGTTGAGATTTTTTTTAATGCCACTTTACTAACAAAAGAATTGTTTCCAAAGCTTTCTGTGATTTGACCTTTACTTAAAACTTTTATCTCTTCTCTCATGACCACCCCTCACATAACACATACATATATATACATACATACATACAATGGACCCAAATAGCCAGTCTCACAAATGTAACATGCTATATTATTTCCTCCCTTAAATAATTTTTTCTTTTTCTTTCTTTTTTTTTTTTTTAACCTGGTACTTCAAAAACAGAATTCCTAACTTTTCCCTGAATGTGACTATTATTATTCCATATTAACATGTTACACATATCAGTAATTTTCATTTCCTCTCACAAGGCAAATGGATGTTATGGGTTAGGACTAATATACTCTTTTAGATTTAGAGGTGATCTACCAGTAAACTGCAAAAAATGATTAGCAAACTTAATTGAGGGAACACAGGCAAGACCTATGTCATCCTACTCATTTCCATTTCCAGAGAAAGACTGACTTTGAGCTCTCTGTAGGAGACAACCAAGTGTGCCTGCCTCTATTGGTACTGCTATTTTGACTTGGATTCTTTTTCATTTCCTCTCCACTGGCCAGTCTTCTTCCCCACAATATCCTTCATATTTTGGGAGGACACCTGGAGCTACCTTTACTCTCTCACAGTAAGAAGGCCACACAGAGCAGGTTGTCACGGTTCTGCTGGATCTGCTTCTGCTATAGAAAGACAAAAGATAAGCTCTCAAGATCATACACAAACTCAATTGAGAAGTTGAGTAGCCTACACAGTCAGAAGGAAACCTAATGAGTTTATCATTTTTAAATGGGTTGTGTGTGCTCTGTGAAGTTTTGAGTTGTTCCTGAGTATGATCCAGTATGAAGAGATAATTAAGAAATTAATTTGCAGCAAAAGTTCTGATCTTCCCCACACTGGTCATAACTCTAAATGAAAATGCTAAGAAAGCCTGATTAGGATTTAGATGGCTATCTAAAGAATACTATTTTGTCTGCATTTTTATAATGCTTTGTTTAGGCAAAGAACAAGAAATTAATATATAAAATATAGAGTAGAGGATTAAAAACCACTGGCGTTTTAATTGTTATTATAGGCTAGTAGAATCAGTATTTTTTTGTTTGTCTGTTTGGTAGGGGGTCTGCCTACTTTAACTATATTGTCTCGTTCTCCAGCATCTGGCAACTCTAGCATGATTAGTATTATTGCTATCAGATCATGCCTCTTTACCTTCAAATCACTAAACTCTTAAAATAGTTACATAATGCATTGCTTTGTTAGAAAACCTCTTTGTGAAATGGACACTTTCCCAAGAAAGGCTTCTATTAAGACATGTACCCATTCTACTAATTCCTTATTTTTCTCTTCTTCCTTTATTCTGTGCCTTCCCCAATACTGACCCTTGCTTTCTGTACTCCTTTGAGATTCCTTGTCTGTACCCGAGTAATTCAAAGTACAGCTCAAGCCCGCTAGACTCACTGACCCAAACTTTGGGATTCCAATTCTAACAATTTGATAATAGTATTTGTGTATACTTTCACCCCAATTCTAAATTCACAAGCTAAAATACACAATGGTCTGGGCTGGAGAGATGGCTCAATGGTTAAAATTGTTTACCCTTCTTCCAGAGAGTTTGGTTCCCAGCTGGTAACTCCTGCTCCAGGAGACACAGTCCTCTTCTGACCTCTCACTCATGTGCACATAACCTGCCCACTCTCCCATATGCATTATTAAAAATAAATCATTTTTAAGGACGCATGATGGCTGTAGTGCTGTGATAAGATGTCAGACATTAGTGAATTAGTGTAGTATCTGAAAATACAAGTAAATAATTTAAAATTCAGGGGCTGCCACAGACTAGACATATATAAACAACCTCTATTTGCTTTACTCCTGGGCACACAAGGCAATGAAAAGGTTCTGGGGCAGTTACAATTTTATAAAACTCTCTTCAGTGCAAAAGAACTATCCAAACTGTGTCATGCGGGGTGCCTTGCTGTCCTACCAGGGAGCAGATTGCTCCAGCTGAGAAAGCTAACTGTCAAACCACTGGAAAGCTGAAAAGAATATCCCTCTGGCCATCTGGGACCAAAGGTTCTCCTCTCTAATTCTTATATACTAGTTCCTCCATTGAAAGTCCTTTTCTATTTAACACCACGCCGGAATCATTAAATTGAGCTAGAAAATTAACATAACTCCATAGTAAGGAAGGAAGTCAACAATGAGAAATCAGAAGGCATTTTAGACTGAAATATATAACCTGTTTCTCTGGTTTTCAATTTTATACTCCTTAATTCTCAGGTTCCACTGCATGCCACCCACACCTCTCCCTACACACACACAAAACCAAGAAAGTAACTTTCACGTCCTCAAATCTTGTTTTCTGTCGTCTCAAATTTCAGCACGTGTGATGTTACAGTCTTTTGCATTTCAGGCAGTAATTCCAAGTCATCCTCTCTAACTCCCCAGTCTGCATAAAATCCCATCTCCACGACCAACATCTGTGGTCGCATCAAACACTATCATAACTACTACTTTTGACAAACTGTCCTACTAAACTTAGTTGCCAAGAGGGCATCTGGCGTGGCTGAGAATAGTTCCTGGAAAACAGTAATTTCCAATCATTTCCTTAAAATAAATTCGTAGGCTTAAGGACCTGACCACAGAGCTAACTTACCATCTATCGGGTTCGTTATTCTAACTCACCCTGCTGCCAACTTTGTTCCTTCACAAGCAGGTTTGCCTTTCTGGAACGATGATCATTGCTCTGTGCGCACCAGCTAACCATGTGCTAATCAGCTGTCTAGTCACAGTCCAATAAGGTGTCCAAAAACAAAACAAACCCGTTTGTTACCATGTTCCTTCTTCCTCCACCCCTGAGATTTCGCAATCTACTTGTCCCTGCCTCCAAGAAAAATGCTATTTCTCCATACTGTCCTCGATTAGTCTTGCTCGTCTCTCTAAACCCGTAGCATCCAGAACAAGAGACGGTCACACGTTATAGAATCGGACGTGGAAGTTAGGAAAATAAGAAGCCTGACTTTGACATCCTTCAGAAAGTCTTTCCAGGCAGTAACTCCTCTGGAACTTGGACAAAAGTGGGGGAGGGGGTTGATACCTGTAGTTACACCCGCCAAAGTTGGGTGGCTTTTCTTTTGTTGTTAAAAGGTTGGCTTCACGAAACAAATACGTAGGACATGCTTAACACAAGCAAGATAAATTGAGTTCCTAAGTAGGCATTATAGAGATCCAACGGAACATCACCTAAGTTCTCCCGGGGTCTCCAAAGCACTCAGAAATCAACGCAGAGAGCTGAACTCCTGTCTCCTCGGTCCTCTGAAATTGCTAACGTCGCGATTTTCCCACGCCCGCTGCAGCATGTCAGGAATCGGCCCAGGGACCTCCAGCACCCCACGGGACCCACGGGCGCCGGCGCCTGCACTGCCTGCGAGAGCCGGCAGAGGGCAGTGCGCCTGCGCGGACACTCGCCGCGCTCGGGATTCGCCGGAAAAGGCGCTCCTCCCCCATCACGCCACACCGGGTTCCGGGGGGGGGGGGTTCTCCCGGGACGGGGCGCACCCCGACCGCCGCTCTCTAAACGCGTACACCCCTACCGCCCCCGGCGCTGACTTCCCCTTCCGCTTTCTTAAGACCCTCTTCCGCTCCGGGGACCTCACCCTCCGCCGCGCGCGACCCGCTTCCGCTGCGCGCGACCCGCTTCCGCTCCCACGCCGGCTTGTTTCCTCTCGCCGGGCCATCCGAAGGAACTCCCACCGCCCCGGAAGTCCCACCCCTTTCCCATCAGACTCTCCCTTTCAGGAAGTTTCTCCCCAAAGTGTCGCGAGCTGGAGGAAGGACTTGGGTTCTTCTGTGGTTGACAGTTCGTGGGTGTAGGGTCCAGGCTAGGGAAAGGAGACCACCTAAATCCGTCCTACCCTGTTTGGCTGCTAACCTGGAAACAAGAAAAGGGGGAGAGAAAGGTAAAGGACACCGAGCCATTTTAGGTTGAAGAGGTACTGTGAGCTTTATTGCGTCATCTATCAAAAATTAAATACTCAGCGCATACTTGTGACCTGGCTATGGCATGGGCTCTTTGCAGACACCAAGCTAAAACTCTGTACAGACTTCTGGTTTTATGGCACCGGCTGTAAGGAAGTACTTTGGAAGACAGCCGAAAGGAGGGGCCCTTTTACTCCACATTTTATTATTTACCGTTTCATCTCAGAGAAAGAACTCAGATTAAGTCTTGGGTAGACGACATCAAAGACAGATGAAAGCGGTTGAAACTTTTTAATCAGTGACTTCGAACAGTAGAGGGGATGGATGTCTGTTCCTAGTTGAGCAGATGCAATTTGGATGTTTTAAGAGGACTGTCGCAGCTCAATAGTCAGAGAACTGAAAAGTTCAGCCTGTTGCCAAGTGTAGAGGGGGTCAGTCCAGCAGCATTTGTGAGTTTGTGTTTCCCACGAGATCTAACACAGGAGCTGAGGAGACAAAAGGCTTCGCCTTTCTTCTAAGGTGTGCTTCTCGGGTCCATGAAAGTGTCTAGAATTGTATGTGTGTGTGTGTGTGTGTGGGTGGGGGGTGATTTACAACTGTAAAGTTTTTTTTTTTTTCCTAGTAACTCTGTTAAGGTAGGAAAGTGTAAACCAAGCTTGATGTTGCGCACCCGTAATCTCAGTATTTGAGGAAGTGGATGCAGGAGGATCAAGAGTTCAAGGGCACCTCCAGCTATGTAGAGTTGAGGGCCAGCCTGGGCTACTTCAAATTCTGGCCATTGTGATTTGGATCTGATTTATCATTTCCTCTGTATTTGCATAACATGACATATAATGGGAGCAACACGCCTAAAATTAAGCCCGTGGCCTAACAAAGTGAAGAGAGCAGATGAGGGAAACAGATAATGGAACCAATCAAATGGTTCTTAGATAGACTGACTGTATGTTTTTCTACTGTATGTAGTTACTTGTGTTCTAGGAATGATTTTATATTAGGAGTATTTAAACACATTGACTGTCCTTTAGTTTCAGTTTTGCTTTTGGCCAGCCTAGTCTCCAATTCCTCATGTGGTAAACTGTTCTACTGTTGGACAGAAAAGCCTCTTGACAATAGGGACTTGGCAGAACTCATTTGTCACTTTGCACCTTGACTGGTTGTGGTCACTGTGTCCCAGGCAGCCTTCCAAGATTGATAGTCTTTGTTATTTTTTGTGTAACCCTCTGATGCTATCTTTATTAAGTAGAAACCTATGTAATTTGGATATGATACTATCCCATCCTATGTCAATTTTCCAAGTGTTTCATGAGTTGCCAGGTATCAAAAAATTTACTAGTTGCCAGGCGGTGGTGGCGCACACCTTCAATCCCAGCACTCCAGAGGCAGAGCCAGGTGGATCTCTGTGAGTTCGAGGCCAGCCTGGGCTACCAAGTGAGTTCCAGGAAAGGTGCAAAGCTGCACAGAGAAACCCTGTCTTGAAAAATCCAAAAAAAAAAAAAAAATTTCTAGCAACTTGAGATGGAATGGGTAAAAGGGAGATAAAAAAGTCGAGTTTAAATGCATCTTAGGAATTTGGGGTAGAGAAAAAAAATGAACACTTGGTGTTAGTGAACTAAAGTAATCATTGTTTATATTTCACATACAGTCTCTTCTGTATCCATATGTATGATTTAATCATTGTCTTGAATAAATTGGAATAAACTTTGAGACCAAACCATGTTAAATGAGGTTGTAAGTACCTTGAGAAAACAGGAAGGTGAGAGATGAGAAGGTTGAGTCCGAATATCTAGTTTGTACTCTCTATAACCTTGTAGAAAGCCAGAAAGCTTGCTACTACTCTTCTTTTCTCCCCCCCCCCCAGGGTAGCCTACTTATCACTATATATGGCATATCACTGTAGGTGTGTATCATTGAAGACAGCTTCTACTCTAGTAACTTTTTGCTAAACAAATAAATGCTAGAGCCTGGGAGAGAGTTCATTTAGTCAAAGTGCTTACCTCACAACCATAACGGCCTGGGTTTGATCCCCAGGACCACATAAAAACACTGGGCATGGTGCTGTGTGCTTGTAATCCTATCACTGGAGAAACAGATTTGCTGGCCAATCTAGCTTAACATGAACTCTAGGCCAATGAGAGATTGTTTCAAAGAAAGTGAATGGTGTTCCTGAGGATGACACTTGAGGGCATCCCCTGGGCTCCATGTATGTGTATACTTGCACACTTGAACATGCATACACACATGCATAAAAAGACTTTAAAGCACACTTTCATTGTTAATGAACTATTTTATTATCAAGTCAATACCTGTTCACATGTTAACACTTGATTCAATTGGCAAATAACTTGTTTTAGTTTTCATAAATACAGATCTAATTATAACTCTTGACCCACTGTTAAACTTGTTTTCTCCCCCTCTCCCCTACACACCCTTTTGTAGTCAGAATTTTTTATTTTTTATTTTTTAAGAATTGGGATTTCATCCTGGGGCTAGACAAGTACTGTATCACTTAAGTACATTCCCAACCATATACTCAGAGTTTTTCAATATCTAGTCTTCTTAAGAAATGACTCAAAATAGTCTTGAATCATGAGGCACAAATTTATTATTATGAGATTTTCTGTTGTGGAACAATCCTTTTCTACACTATGAATATATATTACTCTCATTGGTTAATAAAAAGCTGACAGTCCCATAGCGGGGCGGGAAGTTAGGTATGAAGCCACTGAGAATGATGGGAAGAAGGAGGGTGGAGTCAGGAGAGATGCCAGCCAGCCTCCCAGGAAGCAAGACATACTAGAGGACACCATGAGCCATGTGGCAATACATGGATTAATAAAAATGAGTTAATTTAAATGTAAGAGTTAGCTAGTAACAAGCTCAAGCTATCGGCTGAGTATAAATAGTATGAAGTCTCTATGTGATAATTTGGAAGCAACTACTGGGACGGGGAACAGGCCTATTCAGCCTCTAAGTCAGTTATTTGGGGCCGGGCAGTCAGGACAGGAAATGTCTGTTTACACTTTTCTACCTTTTTGTGCCTCTCCTAAACCCTTATCTTTCATTTTTACCATCCCTCGCTTTCTAGAGAAATAAAGGGCCTTTGATAGTCTCTTTAACTATTATAAAAAGCTTATGATTTTCTGCTGCTTTAATTTTTTTCTATTTAAAATAATAATGTGGTACTAGTCACAATAGCTAAATTATAGAATTCACCAAAATGTGTTTCAGCAGATGAATAAAATCTATAAATGCACAATGAAGTTTTGTTTATCTCTAACAAATAATGCAATTATGTCATTTGAATAAAAAACAGAACTAGAGATCATCATACTAAGTAAAATAATCCACACACGCCACAGAAGAATAAAAACACCACATTTTCTTTCTTATTTGCTAAGAGATAAAGGACATGCAACCAAAAGGGGAAACCTGGGGATTAGAAGGAAGGTTAAGAATGAGTGATGGGTGAATAAAAGGAAGGCATATTATGTGGACATATGGAAATATCAAGAAACCACCTCTTGTATGTAGTTAATATATGCAAATAAAAAAGAAAGTTTAAAAACAATAAAAAGCATTCCTAATGCATCAGTAGCCACATGCTTGTGTATTTTTAATGTAGTTTGATATATTCTGCCCATAACAATCTACACACCTATATAAAAATCTGTATTGGTCTCTTTGCCACCTGTCTGCCATTGGGTGCTCAGGCTGCTTCACCATGCTCTTCCACCATGATGTTTTTGCCCTACTACAGGCCCAGAAACATGGAGCCAAGCAATTATGGGCTGAAATATCAGAACTGCTATGATAATAATGAAGACTTTGCTCGGCTCTGTGTCAGCTAAAAGGCTAAGAAGAGAAACTGAAATTATACTCTCTTGTGCTTCGTCTCGAGTGGGGGATATTCACACAACTGGAGCTGGAAGAAGTGGGCTCTCAGGTATTTTGACATTGTTATGTAAACTGGGGAGCCCTCTCCAGGACAATGGCTACTAGGGAGACAACTAAGACTTTGTTTTAAAATGTGCAATGGCCAGGGTTAGTAAGGAGCTACTGCTGGTGAGTCTAAATTGGCCAAGTTGCTTGGGCCAGCAATGTGGCAAAAGCAGATAATTGTTAAATTTTAATTACACTGTATGGAGTTTATGCATCAAACAGAAATGGAAGTTCACTCAAATATGGTGCATAAAAATGTTCACTAAGTAGTTAATTTCACCATTGTGGTGATATTGTGTTCCCCAAAATATTGTGCACCCTAATAAACTTATCTGGGGTCAGAGAACAGAACAGCCGCTAGATAGACATAGAGGCCAGAAAACGGTGGCATGTACACCTTTAATCCTAGCATTCTGGAGGCAGAGATCCATCCGGATCTCTGTGAGTTCAAAGCCACACTGGAAACAGCCAGGCATGGTGACTCGCACCTTTAATCCCAGGAAGTGATGGCAGAAAGCAGAAAGGTATATAAGGGATGAGGAACAGGAACTAGAGCTTGGTTAAGCTTTTAGACTTTTAGCAGCAGTTCAGCTGAGATCCATTTGGATAAGGACTCAGAGGCTTCCAGTCTGAGGAAACAGGATCAGCTGAGAAGTTGGCAAGGTGAGGAAGTTGTGGCTTGTTCTGCTTCTCTGATCTTTCAGCCTTCACCCCAATACCTGGCTTCAGGTTTGTTTTTATTAAGACCTTCTAACAATTCGTGATACACACACACCATCATTTGTGGGAGTTTGGGTATTTATTTTGTTCCTATTTTTTCTTACTTTTTGGTGTTTTGCAACAGTATGGCATGTAGCCCCGACTATCAAGAATCCACCCTGAAGCTAAGGCTGCCCTGAAATTCCTGATACTACTACTTCCACTACCCAACTTGTGGAATCACAGGCAAGCTTGGGATTTTCAGGATCTTTGAGAGAGATGGTTTTTTTTTCAGGCAGCCTTGGAGTAACTTCAGGAGAGTTCAGCAAACCTACCAACAGATCATTGTAAACATGTAATTCAACCTTGACCTAAGAGTCTTTTCAGATGTCCTATGAATAAACTCAGAAGATTCAGATGGCTCTTATTAGGCATATTCAAAAATACTAGTAAAGAGCCTGACTTGACTGTCAACCCTAGCACCAATTCCAGAAAAAGAATCTTGGGAGATCAGAGATCAGTCTCTATAGGAGAAGAGGAGGCTGGATATTGTTGACCAAATAGAAAGAAAGGTTGGAAAACTTGACATAGTTCCTAAGCATCAGATTTTCCCAGCATGAAAAAAAAAAGAAATTAGAATCTTCTCACACTAAAAATGCAAATTCATTCAATATGGGTAAAAATATAAGGCACAAAATCCTAAGACTACTAGAAAATAAGAACACAAACAGGTTCTTGACATTGATCTAATAATTTTTATTATGATCCCCAAAGTATAGGCAACTCAAGAAGAAAAGTAGACAGAATTACATGGAACTGAAAAGTATCTTTATAACAATGAATTAATGGAAGAAATGAGAGAAGATATTTGTGAACAATACTCAAATACCCGAAGTCCATATGGAACTCAACTTAATAGCACTAGAAACAACTGTACTTGTTTTTCAAGAAATAAACAGATTATGTTTCTGAATATACATTTTCAAAAGAATGTATAGAGTTTGGCACAGGGTCAATGACTAACCCTAGTACTCAGGATGTGAAGGCAAAATGATCTCCAATCAAGTTTCAGGCCAGCATGTACTACATCATGAGACTACCTCAAAAGAAAAGAGAGAAAACAACAAAACCCACAAGCAAAATGAACAAATACAAATAGCCAAAAGGCAGATAAAAAAAATTGTCAGCTCCACTAATTCCTAGGAGAAGGTTAACTAAAACCCTACTAAGTTATTACTTCACACTGTTCAAATTGCTATTACCAAAAGACAAAGACAACAGGTGTTGATGAGAATGTGAAAAAAAAGAGAGCCCCTGAGCAATGTTTGTGAGAATTAAATTAGTATGGCTGTTTGGAAAATAGCATAAAAGTATACTAAGATATTAAAAATAATCTACCATATTACACATGACTTATTCTTCTGGGTTTAAACAAAATCTCTTGTAGATATACAAAAGGAAATGAATATGCTGAAGAGGTGTCTATTTCACTGAAACACTAATTTTAAAATAGCTAAGATACAGAATCAGTCTGAATGTCTAAAGCGGGATCAATACCTAAGGAAAAATTATGATAATTTTAATGTAGGATTTTAATACTGGGTTTTGTTATGTAATTTAGGCTGGCCATTGTGGTTGTCTGAAAGAAAATGGCCCCCAAAGGGAATGGCACTATTAGGAGGCCTTGTTGGAGGAAGTGTGTCACTGTGTCACTGTGGGGTTGGGCTTCGAGGTCTCTTTTTCTCAAGCTTCCCTCAGTGAGACAGTCAATCAACTTCCTGTTGGCTGCAAGATGTAGCACTCTGGGCTCCAGCACCACACTGCCATGCTCCCCTTCATGATCATAATGGACTGAACTTCTGAGATTGTAAGCAAGCCACCCTCAATTAAATGTTTTCTTTATAAGAATTGCTGTGGTCATGGTGTTTCTTCATAGCAATAGTAAACCCTGACTAAGACAGCCATGAAAATGGCTGCCTCTGATTCTTGTGTGCTGGGATTACAGGGGTATACTGCCACAACCAGTTTTAATGGGACAGTTTACAATGGCAGTGTTTTCAATAAATAATGCTGGAACAATTGAATGCCACAGTCAAGAGATCCACAGCCATACCAGGAGTTCAGTCAAAGAGAGAGGAGAAGGATTCTATGAGCAAGGGACATCAAGATCATGATGGGGAAACCTACAGAGACAACCAAACCAAACTAGTGGGAACTCATGAAATTTAGACCAACACCTGAGGAGCCTCCACAGAACTGGACTAGGCCCACTGCATAATCAAGTTGTGTAGCTTGATCTGCTTAAGGGGCCCCCTGGCAGTAGGATCAGGATCCATCCCTGGTGCATGAGCTGGCTTTTTGGAGCCCACTACCTATGGAGGGACACCTTGAACAGCCTTGATGCAGGAGGAGGGGTTTGGACATGCCTCTACTGAATGTAACAGGCTCTGCTGACTCCCCATGGGAGACCTTACCTTTTTGTAGGAGGGAATGGGGCATGGGTTGGGGGAAAGGCTGGAGGAGAGAAGAGGGGGATCTGTAATTGGTATGTAAAATGAATAAAAAAATTCTTAATTAAAAAAGAAGGAGAAGGAGGAGGAGGAGGAGGAGGAGGAGGAGGAATAGACCCACATGCTTCAGGAAAGTGTTCTGATGACAAACTTCGGACCATAGAAATTGAATGAAGAAACAGTTTCTCCTTAACATAAAACAGGCTACCATGGAACTAGAAAAGAGAAGACAAGGGAAAGGTAAACTTCGAGATCTCTTTGGAAGAAACAAGAAACAAAACGTTGAAATTGAAGCAAAAATTACAAGAATCTTCCATGATCTAATCAGGACTATCCTGGTCCATACAGTAAACACTGGGCATTTTGAGGAAAAACAAAGATTGTGAGCTTGGCACCAGTGGAAGTAGGTGTACCCAGGGCTAGGCTGAAGAGTCAACTAAGTAAAGGAAGGGCTAATGTGTTACAGTGGTGTAGACAGATTAAGGAAGCCCAGGTGACCTAAAGGGGCAAAGAGCAGGAAGAATGAAATTAGGTGCTGATAGAAACTTGGAAGTCATTGCTTAAATTGAGTAGTATAGAGCAGTCAGGTTGAGATGAAATAGAAACCAAAGGTTTTAAAGATAAGGAGCTTACAAAATGCTGATAAGACGTGACAAAATGAAAAGAAATTTCTGACATTAGCTGATAACAAAATGAAAAGAAATTTCTGACATTAGCATTGAAGATCAAGCAGGAATAGCACTTTGGTCTATATAGTAAGGTGTTATTGTGGGTAACCCTGACATATAGAAAACCTCTGAGTCTACCTACATTTACAATTTCCAGCTTGTTTATGGCTTTCAGATTGTCATGGGTCTGGGGTCACTTAGAGATTCACTAGCCTGACAATGAATAAATTTTAATAAATAAGAGGCTTTTAAAAACATTGGCCAGGACTGTAGCTACTGACGAGGTGTATACTAAGACTCATGCTCAGAGTATAGCTCAGAATTACATTAGTCTTGAGCTTATAAAGGCAAAACTCACAAGGCTACATACTTCCTGCCTTCATGCAATTAGTTCAGTTTCAACATTTTAAATTGTTTCTTGTTTCTTCCAAAGAGATCTTAAAGTTTACTTTCCCTCATTTTCTGTCTCCCAGTTCCATGAAGAGAGATAAAGGGCAAAACTCTAAAGGCTATGTACTCCCTGCCTACATGTAATCAAGCACACACACACTCAGGGCAACCAAGCTTTTTTACTGCATGTTATTTTACATGAACAGCAGCCCCCAGCATTCCAGGAAGTTATCTGTCCTTGGGCAAGTAGTCCTTGCAGGTTAGAGGCATTTTTGTTCAATCTATCATATTGTTGATCTCTTAAGCACGGTAATTTACACTTAAGACTTAAGACATGTTAACCATCACACAGACCAGGAAGAAAAAGATGTAAGGAAAGAAGCCAAATCCTAAACTATCAGTAGGCACCAACTTATGACAAAATAATACAGTTATACACTGAAAATTTTACACTACCATCAACACGCGATCTGCAAGTTCTTTCTAGAGAAAAGAATATATCATAAGATTTAAGTAAAGTGCATTTTTCTCCAGTCTCCAATGTGTGTGTGTGTGTGTGTGTGTGTGTGTGTGTGTGTGTGTGTGTGTTATTCAACTGAGCTAGCTGTTTTTAATTTTCCCTTTGCAGGCTCCTATGTGAAGGTCCAAAGTACAAAGAAGGGAAGTGGGCAGTACTGTTCCTCCCTCAACAGCAATACTCTTTTCTTCTTTTAAGGCCCTGCTCCTCGGCTCTTCCATATTTAGTAACACCATGGAATCATCCTGAGATGCATTAATAATGCTGGCAGGTTTATATAGCAGTGCCTGAAGGTACAAAATAAAAGGGATAGAGTGAGCAAGCATTTTAGTCAGCCCACGGGAGACTTTTCAAACTTTTATATGAAATTATTTAGACAGCATTTTCTAATGTACGCCTGACTATAGCAAATGTTAATTTCCATTTTATGAAACCTGTGGCTTGATCTGCTTCTGGAGAAGGTAGCTGGCATGGCTTGAGTTCACTTTGGCATCTTTGGCTGGCTTACCAGCAAATAGGGAGGGGAGATATTTGGCTTTATTTTAATAACGCACATGCCTTTCATGTAGTCTTGACGGTGTAGCAAGTCTTGGAGCTGCTATACAAACCATATGTGTGCAAAGTTCAAGGAAATTCAGAGGAGCTGGGTAAGTCCCAAGCCTGGAGTTAGAGCAGTAGTATCCAGCACTCAGGTATTCGGAACCCAGGAAGTAAGGCTCTGATCCTCAAGCCTCCAACATATAGTGTGTTATTTTAAACACAAATAGTCTACAACTTGTGTTTTTCTTAAAAGGAAATAGAAATAAATTATTATCTGTTGACTCATAGAATCATGAATATTCTGAAATCTCTATGATGAGAAAACAAATTCTGTACTAATGTTAATATTTGACACTAAATCTATTAGACACCAGAAGCTGAACTCTTCATACATACTCCAAATGTCTTCTCCTGGCATGTGGTTTATTTTCAACTGCTTAAATAGGTTAAACCCTTTGGGTATGAGTACCGTGCCTCCATGTATCTATGCATGTGCACCACGAGAGTACATAGTGTCTGTGAAAGTCAGGAGAGGGTGTCAGATCTCCTGGAACAGAAATGACAGGCAGTCGTAAGCTGCAACGTGAGTGCTAGAAACCAAAATTTGTCCTTAGCAAGAGTGGCAGTTGTTCTTAACTACTGACCCATCTTTTCAGCCCCTGAAACAGGCTAAAACCTTATGCATTCTTGTGCAGCTCATGTTTAGAACAGTCATGTTGGTGAGACTTTATGGGTGTAGCTTCTGCCATTTCAGGGAGACATAATCTCACAGCAAACTCCCTGATCCTCTGGCTCTTACACTCTTTCTTCTCCTTCTTCTGCAGTGATTCCTGTGCCTTAGCTGTAGGAATTGTATTATACATGTATCCATTGAGACTGGGTTCCACAACTCTGTACTTTGATTGGTTGTGATTTGCTGTAATTGTCCCTGCCTATTGGAAAGAGACATTTCCTTGATGAGGGGCGAGGATTACATTTATCTGTGGGTATAAGGACAAATACTTAGAATATAGTTATGATTTATGTTGGTTTAGTAAAGTGGTGACTGTAGATTCTCCTCCAAAATCCATGACTTCACTAATCCACAAGATTTCCTGTACCAGGCACAAGTTCCCCTTGTTGAGCAGGTCTTAAATCCCAGTAGAGAGCTGTTGGTTACCACCAAGGTATGTGCACACTACTGCACCCTTAGGATTTCTGTACCAGGCTGGCCATTGTTGTAGTTCATAGGCAGAATATCTGGGTAGGACTATTAGTTGCTTCCATCCTTTGGAAGCTTATGTGATGCCTTCTGGCACCATTAAAGCTGGTCCGCAGGGAGGAGGCATTCAGGTGTGTTCCAACTAGAGGGCCTCTGAGCCCTGTGTCTGAAGTGCATAGAGTCTTCAACAATAGACATGCCTAAGTGGATGGGAGAAAGCCCGTGAGACCTCAACTACACAAAAAAACTAGGGCGACTAAGAAATGCTGAGAGTGGAAAATACAGTTTCCCCCAAAGAAGAGCACAACCATTGGACAGCCCTGAAAACATACACACAAGTAACCATTATACAGACTGAGCAAGTTATATTTAGGAATACATATGAATATACATGCATGCATTTAACAACCATTAATAAGAAAAGAAGCCACGAATTTGAAAGAGTACAAGGAGTAATTTATGGGAGGGTTTGGAGGTAGGGAAGGAAAGGGAGAAAGGATATAATTATATTAATCTCAAAAATAAAAAACACAAACAAAAAGCTTATGCATTCTTTATTGCTCAAAGTAATAAAGCAGCATCTCATCATTTCCTAAATTTTGCAATTTATTATATTTATGAGTTCAATCTAAATGATGACTTTCGAGTATGCTATGACATGTGGATACTTTTTATACATATAAATAATTAGCACCAGTTATTGAAATGATCATCTTTTTTATACTGTTTGCCTAAACCACTAATTATATATGAAGTTGTATTTATGTAATTATTTATAGGCTTGCTACTGGGTTGCTGTGATTTTTATTTGCTCTAATAAAGTACAATATTTCAGCTCTGACTGATTTATAATAAGCATTGCTACATAATTAGGCAACCTCTCCTATCTTATTCAAATTCTTCTTGGCTTTTCTTGACCACCTAAGCATTTACAAACCAGTTTTTCAGGTTCATAATGAGCTTAACTAGGATTTTGAAAAAATTCAAATTGTAAATACATGTATGTGTGTGAAGATATTTTAATAGGCATCATTATATATGACTGTCATCTCATGTATTTGATTTCTTTAATATATTTTAACATTTTTATTTTCTGAACTAGCACCATGCATTCATTTTATTAGGTTTAATTCTTGATGTTTTGTAATTTTCAGATGTTCTTATGGCTGACATCTTTAAAACTACAGCCCTTGGTTTTTGTTTTCTTGACATAGGGTTGTAGTTATAGTTTTCCTGCCTGGCCCACAGTCAGGACAAATCTCTCTCACCTGCCAGTCCCACAGCCTTTCAAACCCAACCAAGTAAACACAGAGGCTTATTTTGCTTACAAACTGTATGGCCGTGGCAGGCTTCTTGCTAACTGTTCTTACAGCTTAAATTAACCCATTTCTATTAATCTATACCTTGCCACGTGGCTCGTGGCTTACCGGTATCTTCACATGCTGTTTCTCATCGTGGCAGCTGGCAGTGTCTCTCTGACTCAGCCTTCCACTTCCCAGCTTTATTCTCCTCCTTGTCCCGCCTACACTTCCTGCCTAGCCAATGGCCAATCAGTGTTTTATTTATTAACTAATTAGCAACACATTTGCCATACAGAACATTCCACAGCACTTCCCCTTTTTTTTTTTTTTTCAAAAAGAAGGTTTTAACCTTAACAAAGTAAAATTACATACAATTTGGGAATTTGGGCGTTGCTTCTCTTACTACTTCCTGCTGGAGGGGGGCGCTGTATCTTATGGGGAAACAAAGAAAATTTTAGGATTATGAAATAGTCCATGAGGGTGTATCGTCTGAGCCAGCTGCCTTCAAACCATTCTGGATGTTGGATCATCTGGGCCATGGTGTCATCGGAGACCTTTCAGGGGGTCTTGGCTGGTCAAACCTGATGTGTCTTAATCTGGAACAAATCCATAGCCTCTGGCTTTCTGTGGAAACAAAAGCAGAGTCTCTTTTCCAAAGTAACATATCCTTATATCCAAATTTTGAAGTCAAGGTACCTTTAAAATATACATATTGGCATAACTCAACAGCTTTTACAATCAAATGTTTGTCTGCAGTTAAAAGTCCCAAAGACAACACAATGCAGATTCTCTGTGTAATATCCATTTTTACGTGGCTTATTTTTTATACTACCTTTACTGTCTCTTTAAAGACTTTATTTTTTTAAAACTATGTATTTATTTCTATAACTCTATATATCATCTTTTTTGTCTCTTTCAAGCCTACGTATCTTTTACACACATTGTAAACTATTACATCTGAATCTGTCTTATTGTGAATCTATTGCCTTAAACTGCAGCAGCTGTGGCTGCTGGATCCACCCACCTCAGCTTCCCAACATGGCCATGGTTTACCGCCAGCTCTGGGAGCTATCGGGGGTCTATGCTTTTAGCCAAGCAGCGTGTAGCCCAGAAACCTCCCCTTTTGCTCTGCACCAGCAAAGGCTAAATCCACTATGCAGCTCAAAGTGCCACTTGCAAAGGCCTCATTCCCGCCATAGGCAGGTCGAGCACGCACGCTAGGAACCCACCAGTAGCTCAAACCAGCAGCTGCCGCTCATTTGAGAGAGACAATTAGGAACTGTTTTTAGCTCCGTTTTAGAATCTTTTCTCAGGTTTTAGGTGGAAACTCTTGCCACCACGTTAGACGCCATTTGTAGTTATAGTTTTCCTGCCTGGCCCACAGTCAGGACAAATCTCTCTCACCTGCCAGTCCCACAGCCTTTCAAACCCAACCAAGTAAACACAGAGGCTTATTTTGCTTACAAACTGTATGGCCGTGGCAGGCTTCTTGCTAACTGTTCTTACAGCTTAAATTAACCCATTTCTATTAATCTATACCTTGCCACGTGGCTCGTGGCTTACCGGTATCTTCACATGCTGTTTCTCATCGTGGCAGCTGGCAGTGTCTCTCTGACTCAGCCTTCCACTTCCCAGCTTTATTCTCCTCCTTGTCCCGCCTACACTTCCTGCCTAGCCAATGGCCAATCAGTGTTTTATTTATTAACTAATTAGCAACACATTTGCCATACAGAACATTCCACAGCATAGGGTCTCATACAGCCTTAGCTGGCCTCAAACTCACAAGGTAGCCAATCTATTTTTGAGCCCCTGAACACCTCTACCTTCCAAGTTCTGAGATTACAGGCATATGCTCGGCTAAAACTATTGTCATTTGAATGTGAAATGCCCCTTCCAGATTGGTTTGCTCTTCAGCTGCTGACACTATTTGAGGATAATTTTGGAACTTGTAGAGATGGGACATAGGAGGAAGAAAGTCACAGGTCTTTAAGGGAATCTTGCCCCTGGTCTGCTCTCTCTCCTCCTTCTTTCCTCTCTCCGTCCCTCTCCCCCTCTCTTCCTTCTTCTCTCTCTCCTTCCCTCATCTCCTTCCTACTTTCCATAAACTGAAGTTCTTCTGCCACATGCTATTCAACCAAAACACATGTTTTACACACACATGCATTGTTAGGATTTAGCAGTGGCAGGTTGGGGCCAAGGTATGCTGCAAAGAGATCACACCTCACAACAGATCTCACATAAGAGGATTATTGGGGAGGAGGAGTGAAAGGTTGTCTTAGAGTGGGGACATGAGAGACACAGAGAGAGTCAGACAGACAGATAGACCGAAAGATAGAAAAAACAAGAGAGCCAGAGAGTGATCAGTGATAGCAGGGACCTTTTAAAGGGTTGGCGACTTTTGATTACATAGCTGCTGAGTCTCTGAGGGCACACTGCGGGAACACCTGGTTTCTAACACATGTAACACACACACACAGAGATACACACACCACACACACACATGCACCACACACACAGATACACACAACACATATACACACACATACTACACACATACATATATACACATACATATCACACACATACTACACACACACATATATACACTCACATACACATACCACACACACACACATGCACACACATATATATACACACACAACATACACATACACACCACACCTCCCTCACACACACACTGTAGGTCTATGCATGTTTTCTTATTTTATCTTTCTCATTTCTTTATCTATGTATTCTTCACAAATAATCATAAATATGTAAATCATGAAAGTCTTAGTGACCCGGTTATTGAATCCATGATACTTTGTAGGGTAGATATGATGTAATTTATCTCTACCCTTACTGGAGAGCTAATTCTAACTCTTGTGAAGAAAGCTGTGAAGAAAAATCCTTTGTGGGATCTTCCTTGCCCCTTTATTGTTTATCTGAGCATAGGCAGCACATCTAAAAGTGGTGTCTTTAATCAGGCTTTCTAAATTTCAAAGAAAATACCTAGGTCTGAGAAATTCAGCAGTTTTTGTGGCCTCTGGGTAGGTGGCTTGGTGGAGATCCAAAACCAGTCACCTTCTCAGACTTGCTGGTCTGCCATCTGGTAACATCCATAGCCTTGTTTGTTCCCTGTGACCAGTTTTCATTCTGCCCAGTCAATCTCACCCGGCCTGTATTCAAGGCAGGCCACTAAGCAGGGGCCCAGCAGAGTTACCGAGACTTGAAGATGCTCCCCTGGTTCTGGGACCACTTCCTGGGCAGTAAAGTCAGCCACTCTGTGGCTGATATAGAAGGGCTTGGCTAGCTCAACAAATCCCTATCCAAAGCCAACAATATTCAACACCCGCTAGGAGTACTTGTACCGGTCTTTTCGATGTGGGAATGGGGATTCCAAGGATGGCTAAAATGTGGTCATAGGAAAACTCCTCTTTCCTTCCTCTAGGTTGGAGCCTAGGTATGTGACCTAAGGGAAGCACAACTGAGCCTTGGCAGCTGAGACTCTCTGTTCCCCAGGGCTTGCAAGATTTCTGAAAGGCTTTCTGCTTCCTGTCTACATTCCTTCCCAGTGGTCAAAGCTATGAGGTTATTTACATCCTGGAGCAAGGTGTTTTGTGGGTATTTTTTTTTTTTGTCTAAATTCCAATAAATAGATCTGCACTCAGGGCTCCATCAGACAATGCTGGTGAGCTTTTGAAACCCTGTAAGAACAGAGCCCAGGCTAGTTGACCAGTATATCAACCCTCTGTGGTGGTCTATTCAAAGGCAAATATGATTGACTTGGGCAAATGGAAGGCAGAAGAAAGCATCTTTCAGATCCAGGACCATATATATCTTCCTTTTCGAGGCAACAAGCTTAGAAAGATACTTCAGTACTGGGGGTAGATGATTTCCACTCATTTGCTGACTTCCCTGAAATCCTGTACTGGCTGGGAGTTAAGTGTCAGGCTTCAGGACAGGGAGTGAGGGAGTATTCCATGGAGAGAAGCAGGGGACAAGAATTCTTGCCTCCTTCAACTGGTTGATGTGTTTGACAATCCCTTATCCGGCCGCCTGGTTCTTGTGGTATTGTTTGACCGGTACTGGTGTTGCAGAACTTAATAACTAAACTATGATGAATGGCCAATGTGCTGCTAAGCCTGGTTGTTTCTCCTGGGTCCACACATCCGGGGAACTTGCTCTGAGTTCCTGTAGGTAGCCTGAGGATAATTCTGCCTTCCTGGTGGCCAAGTCCTTGAATAAGAGGTACTCCTCAGATAGAGAACAAATGGTCAGAATATTGGAAAGAACATGGCCGGAGTCCACAGTTAGACTAGCCAAGTTCCCCCTGAAGAGATGGTAGCTCTGAGTTTTTGTAATAAGTCCTTTCCAATCAATGGGTGTGGGCAGTGTGGCATAATCAGAAAAGAATGATTCCCAGTGCCTTGTACTAGGTCTGTGGTCCATTAGGTTGTCTATGGAAAGTATGTGGTTTGGCCTGTTGCTCCTTGGACTGCTGTCTTCCTGGAGATTAGGAATCTAAGGGGATCTGTCAAGATAGAGTGGGCTGCTCTAGTGTCAATGAAAAAGTCAACAGTTTTGTTCCCTACTCTTGCTGTCATCCTGAGCTCCTAGGGACTCAATCTTAAGGAGCCCAGGCCCCATCAATTTTCAGATAGCTGGAGGATAGGGTGGTTGTCCTCTTCTTCTTTTCTGCTAGGGCAGTTGTTCTTACGATGACCCTTCTGTTTACAACAGGCACATTGTTTCTTTTCCAGACATTTTCTTTCCCTTTCTCCTAATCTATTTTCTCTATTTCCTCTCTTGTCTGTTTCCCTAAGGGCAGCGATTACCACTCAGGGAGAGTTTCTTTCTCTGTCTGTCTTTGGCTGAATCTTGGCTATTCTAACCTTCCTGAACAATTTCCAAAAGTTGAGACCTATTCATCCTTTCATATCTCTCTAATTTCTGGGGTTTTCTTCTTATGTCTGGGGCTGAGTGCATGGCAAAGGCCACATTAGTGGATCTTTGGTTTCTAAGGGCATCTGAGTCTATGGGAAGAAATATCTGGTATGACTCACAGAGCATTTCCGGACATCCCATGGGCTACTCATCAGACCTGTGATTTACTGATTTACCTTGGACCAGTTGGTGCGGGCCATACGTGGGCTGCAAAGAGGGTGCTAAGAGGAAGTTAGACAAATAGAGCTTAAGCTTTAAGCTGTTTAGGGAGAGAGTGGATGCAAATGGTGACAGAGGAAGTTAGCTTAAGCTGTTTATGCAGAGAATAGATACAAAGGATGGCTGAGAGGAAGTTAGCTTGGGTTGTTTGTATGGAGATTAGAGACGAATGGTGAGGAAGGAAGTTAGCTCAGGTTATTTATGCTAAAGTAAGAAACTAAAAACAGGAGATGATGTTAGTGCACAAACAATTTGTAAATAGGGTGACCTTTAAAATGATTGGTTGGTTCCTTCACCCCCTCCTAGGGTTCTCAGATTTTCTGGTATAAAAGAGACTTACTGCCTAACAATAAACGAGTTCTTGCTTGACTTGACCCCCCGCTGTGTCTGATTGTCTCCGGGTAAGAGGGAGGCTGGGGAACGGGCAAGCAGTGCACACTTACCTTTCCTCGGTTCCAGGCCACCTCTTCACAGGTGACCTAAGTTCTCGGTGGGGCAGGACCCCACAAGTTGAAAGACTTTCTGACTGCCACTATTAATCCTTCCGACAATGTTTGGCAAAATGTATCCAACAATCTATTAACATTCATTGGTATCAGGATCAAAACTGGGGTGGGTGGTTCAGCAGGTCTGCTCTACCCAGGCCTCTGCATCAGGCAGTGTCTTGCTTCCTGGCCTCAGAGCCAACTTCCAAAGTTCTAGCTGGATTCGGTCCTCACCCATAAATAGGGCGGCCCAGAGCTGCTGGCAATCATCCCAAGTCATCTGATGTGTATAAAAACAGTTTCCAATGGGCTGATAAAGGCCTGCAGCTTCTCTGGAAAAGGAGTGTTTAGGGTCTTCTAATTATACAACACACCGATGATGATGATGATGATGATGATGATGATGATGATGATGGGAATATATACCATAAATGGGGGTGGGGGACATTTTCCTCTTCCCCTTGTGTTTAACAGGGTCCCAGTGCTTCCCTCAAGGAGAGAATGAAGGCTGGTCTCGAAGCCTCAGACAAAGCTTGTTTCTTGGCTTTCCCTTTGGGGAGAACCATGTCCTCAGCTCCCTCTTACAGCTCCTGTTGGTCCAGTCAGAACATAGCTGAACATGGATCTCTTCAGGCCGAGCAGGGAGAATCTGTGGTACTTTGGGCTTCTCCAATCATTTTGACTGTACCACGAGGACCCTGACCCTCAAAGAAAGAACTTAAGTTTTCAAGCATGAGAGTGCTTAGGGCAAGGGCAAGGGTTAGCCAATGACCGGCGTAAGGGAAGTGATCAGGATGACTAAGAGAGCAGGTGACAACATTCCCGACCACCCTGACTGCCTGGGGATTCAAAGATCTCTCAGGTGGCCATCTCACCTTCAAAGAGGGCCACTCGTGTTCTCAGAGTGTAGTGTCTCCCTAGGGAGAAATGAATACCATATCATCCCCATCCAAGAAGCTCCTCTAAAAACTTTTTAATAGAGTTGAATTCCCTCCACAAGGGCAAATGATAGGCTGACTTAAAGAGACAGAGACAAACAGTGCAGATACATTGACAACAAGTGTTTGGGGTCTGGGGCCATTCAGAGATTCACCAGTCTGACAATATGATTTTAATAAGAACAGGCTTTTATTTTCAGATACTGGCCAGGACCGAATGAGACACTGGAAATTCTCTAGATAAGGCCCAGGCTGTCACTAGTCCAAGAGGTCTAAAAGCAAAACCCACAAAGTTACAATTTAGGGGAATTGCATTAACTCATATCCTGTCTGGGTGCAGCAAAGCTTAATTTCTGTAACATGTCAGGCAGATGCCTCAGTTATCCTGAGCAAGCAAGCGTTATATACAAAAACAGAACTAGCAATTAGCCTGTTAGCCTTGTGACCCATCATATTGAAAGAACAGCTGAAGCAGTGTAATATTTTACAAGATTGCGTAGTTTTTCAGAATGACCCAACTATTCTAGGAAAAGTGAAGGAAGTGTAGCTTGTACAAGCTAGGGGCTTAGATGCTAGAGGTACTTTTTTGTTATATTGATCTATAAAGCATAGTAATTAAAGCCTTAAATGTAATATTAACCATCACACGACCAGACAAATCACAGATGGCCACTGAGCATCCATTCATCCAACAGATGGAGTGTGTGTGGGATGCATCCTCCTGGTAATATCTCACACAGACCCTGGACACAGGATCCACAGTGGCATGTGATGTCCCTGCATTTTGTGTCCTAATCACATTGATGCCTTCTGTAGAACAAACTTACCTCCTGAGGTGTTCAGACCAGATGAATTTCCACTTATTTTTTGAGGAGGTGGTGTTGGGGTGTCAGGGCCCCCAAGTGTCCAGTTCCAGTCTCTGGGATCTTGGTGGGACTTCCAAAAATATTTCAGAGAGTTCACTAGAGATGACCACTCAGATACAGTTTATAGCCAATTGAGTCTTTATTCCTGTCAGTTGGGACTACACCCAAGTGTTTGGGGACCTGGGTGTGACCTCAAATGTCCAGAACTCAGAGGTTTTAAAGCAGAAACCATGTGCTGCCATCTTGCTCAGCAACTGAAAGGGGGCTTCACAGAAGCAAGCAGTTTAACAGAAGCTAAGATAAGCAGTTAGCTGGAAGGGTTGAGGAGTGGGGTTCTGCAGAAGCAAGCAGTTTAACAGAAGGTAAGAAGTGGGCTAGAACATCCTAACCTTAGATTTCCTAGAATGGAGTTTGGTTGCTTTCCATGGGATTCTCCATCAAGGAGATCAAATTCTAGTTAAATATGAAATGGCCTCAGCAAGAATCCAAGATGGAGGAACCACCACACTGTCTTGCCCTGTCACAGAATGAAGATCTCAATAGAAAAATCTAATTTGCTTTTGTATTGTCACATATTTAGGTATTTCTTACATAATAGTTACTAAAAGCATCCAGATTAAATCATCAAATAGTTATTGTGTTTCTTGACCTCAGATAAGTAAATAAAAGTTTGTATTTATGTTTCCAGGACAGCAATACTATACTTGTTAAACTTTGTCTTCTTCAGACTCTTAACTGATGGTCAATTTTTTTTCTCCCAATCCTATCACAAGACATTTTATAAATGTTACAGACTAATAAATAAATATAAGTATGCATGGCATTAACAATTGAGGCCAAATCTTAAACGGACTGAGGTATATGATGATCATGCTCTGAGAAAAACCAGTAGTGTGCTGAAGTTTATTCATACAAGTTAATTATGGTCAAATGACAAATTTTCAGGAATTTTGTGAACTGATGAACATCACATTTGTTTCTGGAAATTGGTCATGATGGAAACAATATATACTATGGATACTGGCAAATATTACCACCATACTTATTTTATTGTTTTGTTTTGTTTTCCTTTCCGAGAAAGCCAGCTGTGAAACACTTAACAGCACCCCATCATCAGAAATCTGCCGATAGGTCAGATGTTTGCACGTGCTAGATCACAGAAGCAAAAAATGCAAGGCAGGAGCAGCTGCTGTACAGTTGTCTGAGTGCAGATGCAGACCATCCACCACACCAAGTGCAGAATGTGGTTCTAGTGCTTTGCAAACTGCATTAGCTACCCTAAAGGCCAACAGAGAGAGCTGGTTTTCCACTGACTCAGGGGTTCACGGGGTTCGTGTTTTCCTCCTATGCAGAGTCAGAGGAGACCAGAAAGACATTGTGGCGGCACAGCTGCTTGCATTTCCTGCCAGCTTACTTGATTTGTTGTTTTCTTTTCATCAGTCTGCCCTTCACCCTCTTCAGTTTTCATACGTAAATCTCAGTTGCTGAATGAAGCTTTGTATTGTTATAAGTCCAGAGTAAGCTTATTCTTCAAAACAAATCAATGAAAACAAAACAAAACAAAAACAAAAACAAAACAAACTTGTAAGGTAATATAAATGAAAATCCCAAATTAAAAAGACAACACTATTAGTTTTATTGTAGAAATGTAAAAAAAAAAAAGGGGGGGGGCTTATCCTATTTTCAAAAGGTACCATAGTAAGTATGGGAAGATGTCTGTGCCATTAATTCTTTTAAAAAATAAAATACTGCGATCTGTTGGGTCCCAATCCTGGAGCAGGGGGAGGCAGCATCATGGAAATCTTCCAGAATGACATCCTGGCCTCAACTCAGGCTGGACTATACAAGGATAGCTGGCAGATAGAGGAAACCTCACCAGCAGCAGAACCCTGCAAGTTAGGTTGTTCTGGCCAAGAACAGCCCCCTCCCTCATCTCTTCCTACCTCAAGAAAACAGAGCATCTGGCTACCCATCAGAGCCCCACACCAACCTCCAGTCTCCTAGGTTCCTCTTAACAGGTACCTGTGATGCAGCTTCTGGCCCACTCTGCACCCCCTGCCCCCACCCAGGCAGTGTGGCCCACTACCCTACCAAGTCCCCGCACCACCACGAGGCAGCTTTCCCATTCCAGCTTTCTGTTTCCTCTCCCTGCAGCTACCCAGTTCTCCTTTAAAAACCAAGAAGTTTTTTCTCCTCTGCTGTGCTTCCTTCAGCCCCTGAGAGGTAGTCATGGCAGTTTTGGGTTCCACTAAATACCTCTGACTATTCTTTCTCCACCCTAGAGAGAGCCTCATGGCACTTTTGTATTTATAGTAAACTTTTGCTTTCAAACTATGGAGCAGTCCATGGTTTCACTGTGCCCTCCCTTACAGTATCCTAGTTACTTTTCCTGTGCCTGTAATAAAATACTTTGACAAAAGCAATTTAAAGGACAAAAGGGTTACCAACAGTCATAGTGCATGCCTTTAATCCCAGTACTCTGGAGGCAAAACCAGGCAGATCCCTGAGTTCAAGACCAGCCTGGACTACGTAGTGAGTTCCAGGACAGCTAGGGCAACATGGAGAAACTCTGTTTTGAAAAATAAAACAACAACAAAATAATAAAACAAAACAACAACAGCAAAATAATAAAATAAAAGCTTTTATCTGGGCTCAAGTTCATTTTTCTCCTAAGGAAGTCCTGGTCACAGGAATTTAGGTCAAGTTGCACCCATCATCAGGAAGCAGAGAACAATAAACATTTGTTACTCAGCTCACTTTCTTCTTTATGCATAGCCTACGATCCCAACCCAGTGAACGTTCATTGCAACCTGCGGTGTGTGGCGGTTCCACTTCAGTTAATGACTACAACCTCAAAGAGATGCCTAGAGGGCCTCCCACAGACAGTTCTAGATCCATTAATTTGACAGTTGAGAGTAAGCATCACAGCTGATACACTTCCTAAGTTCTAGGCTTTGTGCTATGTGGCAAATGTTGCCTTTTTTTTCATGAAGCTTATAACATAGTGAGAGATCCAAGAGTAAAACAAATATTCTGATAGATCAGTACACAATTAGTGGTTCTGCTAGCCACTCAAACCGGAGTG